TCCTGATCTGCAGTAAGACTTACTGCACCATTAGGCATTATTTGCTGTGTTTACTTATTATATCGACTAGTGAGCCACGCGCACCCATGCAAAACGGACTCTCTTTTACCTATACACCTTTGCTCTGGGGTCGTTGTTTTCTATTAACTCTGATGACTGGCGCTGAATAATTCTCCAGTCCATGAGCGCGTGCCATCGGTTCAGAGTAAAACAGGATCAACTTTGTCTTTTGGGAGTTGAGGCACAGATTACAGTCAGATGACCAGGGGCATGGAAAGATGATCAAGGGCCTGTTGCGGTTGCTTCTCCAGTCCATCAAATTAGATTGTCTTCCGTGATCATAGATTGTGGTGCCGTCGGTAAATTGATGTGACATGACGGACCGTAAACAATCTGACAAATCATTCACTTACAGATTAATACAGGTCCTAGAATTGAATCCTGTGGAACTCAACCTGTTGAATGGAAATGTTTTGGGTAACCTGCGCCAGTCTCTCAGTAGTAGGGAAGTCGCGAAAGCGAGGTTAAGGGAGGCAGCGCGAAAGTTGGAAAAGGGTTCTTAACGATCTCCGCACATTACTATTTTGGAAACTGGAGCGGACTAAATTTTTGGGGATGCTAGAGCTTCATTATTTGGGCCAGTTTCAGGCTGCGCTGGTTACTGGGAAAAAAATTGTGTGCTCAAAAAGGGTCCCATAATACAACTGAAATATTGGCGTGACATGGCTTTAAACCAAACTAGTTTCCTTTTTACACATGTAATTCTCTCATCCCAGGCATCAAAAGTTCAGTTAGTGAAAACCAGCAATTAACTTTTAAGAACAAACTGAAGAAACACCTTACGTAACTTATTCTTTCCCTCGATCCCCCATCTCCTTTTTCTTTCCTTTTTTTTTCGTTGCTTTTTTTCATTTTTTTTTTCTTTAATACGTTATGGCCACGTTTTGTTACTCTATCACCGCCGTTCAATTAATATTTAGCGTTTTCTGTAATTTAGTAGATAAAGCCCACTTTGCATTACCCTCGTGTTTTCTGTGGGCTTTCTTGCCATTTTGTCGTACAACTTTGTTATTTTTTTTATAATTGTAACATAACAAGGTGGCGAAATGAAAAATCGTTTCCGGGTTTCCAGGGTCCTCTCCTACTCGTCCCCCGGAGAGAGAAGGACTAGGAGAGAACCCTGGGAACTAGGTAGAGGAGAGACCCTGGAAGCTAGATTGGTTTTGGACATGCTACAGGTGTTCGCAAATGTATTAAACGGGCGAACACATTTCCGTCTACTTCCTTTCATTCTTTAAGAAAACCTTAGATTCTGCATTATTCTGTTCAAGAAATTTGTATTTTAGTAAAAATCAAGTGTAATCAGTATAAATTATCAGGCTTACATCACTCAGTGTTAAACTTTTGCATTTTCATTTCATTTCATTTAATTTTATAATTTTTCAGCTAAAATAGCGCTCTTCACAATATCTTGATCAAAAGCGCTTCACCATCTTAAGCTAAATTCTAAGAGACAAAAAAATGGAAATATATATTTACATCGACACTTTACAGTTGTTGCTCGATTTAAGTCTCTTCCATTCTCTTCCATTTATCATTAAGCACAATATATTGATTAACTCCCAATATGGCTTTAGGGGGTGTCATAATACTCAACATGCAATTCTGCATATTGTTAATACAATTCAGAGTAACATGAATAGTGGTAAATTCACCTGTGGACTCTTTATAGATCTGAAAAAAGCCTATGATACTGTTGATCACTATATTCTTCTTCAAAAACTTGATTTTTATCGTGGCATCAGAGGTATTGTTAATGATTGGTTTCGATCTTACCTAACCTATAGGAAACAAACCACTTCAAATGGCTCTTATATCTCCAACAGTGAAACAACTTTGTATGGTGTTCCACCAGGCTCTCTGCTGGGCCCAATTTTATTCTTATTGTATGTGAATGACATTGCAAATTCTTCAAAGCATCTTTCGTTTTCTTTATTTGCTGATGATACAAGCATTATTTATGCAAACAAGAACCTCCATAATCTTGAACAGATAGTTAATTCTGAACTACGTAATGTCAGTGACTGGCTTTTAGCCAATAATCTAACCCTTAATTTGAAAAAATCTAATCACGTGCTTTTCCGTCCTCGGCAGAAATGTTTAACACATAATTCCCCCATCAAAGCTTATGATCCAGCCATAAATGCATTGAGTACCTTAGAAAAGAGAGATTTTGTCAAATACCTTGGTGTTCTGATTGATTATGAACTTTCCTGGAAAAAACATATTAATCTAATCTGTTTATAGATAAGCAGAACCGTGGGAATTCCAGCAAAGCTTAGACATAATATTCCGTTACGTCCCCTCTTAAATATCTATCAAGCCCTTATCAACCCCTATCTTTATTATGGCATCTGTGCTTGGGGCACTGCACCTAAAACTTATTTAAATAAGATACTCTTAATATAAAAACGAGCCCTACGCCTGATTTACGTTACGGATTATAAGCAACATGCTGTACCATTTTTCTTAAATTCGAAAGTCTTTCCCCTATATCTTTTATTTACTTTGATTGTCTTTGTAGTATCGGGTGGGACGTTGCTAACAATTCTGCACCTGAAAATCAAGCAAGCCTTTACTAGGATTTCTGAGGTGTAGTCATATCCTACCCGATCTCCTCTCAATGATGATTTCTGTACTGAACACTCAAGGCTTGAAAAAATGCGTAGTTCTTTTCTAAGAGTTGGTTCAAAAATCTGGAATTCTTTACCCTCAGATATGAGAAACTTACCAAAATCTACTTTTCGGAAAAAGATAAGGAATGAGCTCTTTGAAATTTCATCTAAAGCTGACAACTATCTTGAAATCACTGAAATCTTGCATCAACTTAAATTTAACTCGCTCAGGAACACGACTCAACTTATATTCTCGGTGTAAATCTTATTTTAATTGATTAGCTTGATACATACTATAATTTTTATTTTGCGACAGCTGGTACTGTTTGTAAAATTTTTCTTTTTTTCCCTTTCCTTTCTTTAAATTTGTGTGTCTCTTCCCCCGCCTCGATTAGACTTTCCTATACGCGGGTGGAAGCTATCCTGAAATTGTAAATTGAGATTGAATGAATAAAGTTGAAAGCTGAAAGTTGTTGCTTTTTATGTCAGCCAAGGAAGACTTTCTATTCATTTACTACGAAACAATAGAGTGTCTTAAATTTAGGTTCATGTAGCTGTTGTCAGAGATATGATTTCGTCATCCAGGTCTGTAGTTTTAGGTCTTGTCTTTCCAACGTCAACTGGTTTTCATCCGTGTTGAAAAATCGCTTGTTTTCAATTCCCTGAATCCTTGCTGGGACAGCTGTCAGGAATTCGACTGAACAAAGACAAACAATAATGTTACTTCTCACAGTATTTAGTAAAGTGTTTCTTGGCAAAGAAAATTTGCAAAAAAATTTGCGTTCCGAGGACTTTTTTTTGGGTTGACAAAAAGGGTTTCCTATGACCTTCGATATTTTTAAGACAGCAAGTATTTTTTTGCTCTAATTTGAGCCTAAAGTTTAGCTTACTTGGGATTTGAAAGTTTGGCTTTAGTCGCCCCTACCCGTCAAGGATCGCTTGTCCTAGGCTCTCAGGTAGTAGTCGGTCATTGGCACCCAAAAATAAGGGCGTGGTCGATTGACCTTATTCCGGAAAAACAATAAATGGAATTACGGTAAGAAATCAGTAATTTAGGCATATATTGTAACTTAGAATACAGAAATTTGGTTGAAATAAAATATTAATATGTATGTGACATTTCATTGTGGTCCCAGAATAAGGCTAAAAGATATTTGTAATAACATTTTTACGTATTGTTATTCTCTTATTCAGGAATACGATCAATCGTGCTCATCCCAAGAAGCGCCTGATCCTCTGTCCCAAGTCTGCACGCGTTTTTCCCGGGTTATCAACGAAGACCTAAGGTTTTGTTGGACCACAGGTAGAAAAGTACCTCACGTATAATGCTTGATTCAGCTCGTGAAATGAAGTAATTACCAAGGACTAAAACTGAAGACAACTTTACCTGCTGGAGCTTGCAGAGTATTATTTTTCTGGACATTATCGTTAATACTGATTGGTTCTGCTACGGCTTTGTTTTTTTACGGATCCAGCGGGTGTATGTTTCTTTTTACTCAATGCACCAACTACACGTGCTCTGACCTGCAAGAAACAGGTTAAATTGCAAAGTAAACGATTAATAGGCCACTTTCGACACAGTAAAAACCCGCGTATAAGAACAAAAATGTTAAAAACCTCTTAGGCTAAGATTATCTGTTTAGATCCCTTTTACATAAGAACCTGTTTTAGCCTACAATTCTGAAACAGTTTCTCATTTTGAGAAACTCAGTCAAACAATGAATACACAAATTTAAGAGAACAAGCTCTAAAAAACATAGAAATTAAAATGACTCACCTTGTGTTTTTGTTCTGTTTTTTACTGTCTCCCGCTTCTAGAACCATTTGGAACCCGTTTTATCGACGTTTAGTTAATACAACTCAAAATCTTAAACGTCGATAAAATGGCTTTTAAATGGCTCTAGAAGCAAAGAGACAGTAAAAATCAAAACAAAAAACACAAGGTGAGTCATTTTTATTTCTACTTTTGCCAAAAAAAATGGAATGTAGGACGTATTTTTTTTTTTTTATTTGCATACACTTTCTCATACATTCAAAGTCCAACGAACTCACAGAGTTTCGAACTCCCACAGATTTTGGGCCGCCTGTGGTCTAGGTGGCCCAGGTTATAGTAGTCGCACTGTAGACTGCAAAATAGCAGGGTTTTTTTTACACAGGTCAAGGTCTAGACCGAGGGGTAATGAGAAACGGAAAATGCCGAGACTCAGGAAACACTAGGCCTCACGGCTAAAACTCGGGCGCCTCGCGCGCCCCCGCCTTGAAGATTTCGACAGAAAAAACGCCGAAACTGGAGTCTAAATTGTCAGTAGTGACTAGGATAACCAAAAAACCTACCTCAGAGTCCAGAACGCAAAAGTTGAAAAAGATGACAAATCCTTGCAAGGAGTTGAAAATTGTGAACAAATAATGAAAGACAATAGTAGACGAGAAAAACGTTAAAAGGCCAAAAGACCACGTTATTCCCAGGAGTGGCAGAAGAATTAAGGACCTCCTCAGCCACGCCTTCACGTGTTGAACACGTGTCATGGATTCTCTGAACTTTGACACTCTATTTATTCGACAAAGCAAAGTGATGAACAAAACAGAGTTGACCTGAAACAAAAACAGAATAATACTGATATAGATTGATGTTTTTTTTTTTGAAGAAATTTAAAATACCTTAACATGTTTAGGGAAAAACGATTGCCACTTTAAGGTCTTTCATGGTTTATTTTAGGACCCTGAGTATTGGCCTGGCCCCAGGGATCAACAACAACCTCCATCGATGATCTCATTCAGAAGAGATTGTCAATGCTCCTAAGCAGTTTTCACCTTAGAAGAGTTGACCGACTGAATTTTTACACTTAGTAAACTGCGCAAAATAAAAGAAGTAGAGCCGACAAAAGGAAATAGGATCTTTAAGAAAGGATACTTACCAAAACAATCATAGCAGCCGGAGCGACAAAGGCACAGTAAAGAATGTTATGTTCTAATGTCAGCCAGCAGTTGTTAGCTACGTATTTGTCGATACCAGTTACTATAAGGGACATTCCCACTACTGTGCAAGGGAATCCTGAAACAAAGACATTTTAAAATATCTGAGCGATTTCTCGCTCTGATTGGTTGAGAGCTATGATGGTAATTTAAAAAGTACAGACCAAGGAAATGACGTGAAGGTGAAGTTATTTGTTTTTCTTGCGCGCGAGCTTTCAAGAAAAAAAAAAAACCTCAATGGCACATAATGGCAGTTGGCGTAAGAAACCGTCAATGTTAAAAAACAAATCGACAATGATTTCCTATGGTCTACACACCTATCTACCAAAGGAATGACGTCAAAATGTTCAAACTCTTTGCAGTGACACCACTCGCCTGCGGTTGGTGGTTCCACAATGCGTTTTGAACATGTTGACGTTACTACTATGTCGATAAGAGTATACAGTACACCATGGAAAATTGTTGTGGAATTGTTAAGTATATTTCGTAACTTACTGACATACACTGGAGAAAACAATTTCTCCATTAAGTAGAGAAAAATAGAGAAAACCTTTTTTTTACAATCAAGATTTAAATAACGTTAAACTTCACTGCTTTTTCTTTCCTTTTGTTCACTTCGATTTCCTTTCTCACTGAAAATTAACTAAGGTCTCTCAAGAGAGAATAATGGAAACCATTCCAGTCTATCTTAGTTCTCTCGTACCCTACGACAACGGTTTATCAGTTTACCAAACACTGTTTCTAGGAATTTCAGTTTGAAAGAGAACGCAACATGTATTTCTTATAGTTATGCACCCGGCCACGTTATTTAGACGTCTCTGCATTACGCAAATTTGAAAGCAAAGGACAAAGGGACGTTGAATGAGCTGGTGAGAAATGCCGCTTTTTCTGCTGTTTACCGCCTTCCTATGATACAGAGAATCAGCAATATAGCTGAAAAACATATACAATATGATAGCCTGTATTTTCTCCACAAAAGCTCAAAGAGGCTTTTTTGAGTGAGGTGGCAGGCTCCATTTTTCAGTTTTCGCGCCTTCATTTATTTCGCACAGCGGAAATCCAATAACGTTCCGTCGAGCCTCTGTGGAAATGGGTGTGATGACGCAAATTGACGTTAACGTTTCTCTTACCCCATCCAAAAGTGTAAAACCACTTCATCTTTGAATGAATGTTGTCTCTCAGGTCCGCTTTTATGATGAGTAAATAAAGCAGGACACCATGGTTGAACATCCATGTGAACACACACAGGAGAAAATAATGAAGTGACGCCGCCATGGCTGTACACCAAACCTGTCAAGTAACGCATATTAAGTGACTGTTAACCCGTTAAATCTTAGAGTGATCGCCTATTTGCCCCTCCTCGTCCGTCTTTCGTTCTTGCCTGGCTTAAAGGAAACAGAGGAGAAACCCCTGGGACCAAAGTTGCAGTTCTCCAATGGCAATATCAATGCATCATCAGCTATGACAATCGATAAATCAATCACTAAAGGGAAACTGTTTAGATATTTTATCAAATTCTCTCAATGAATCTGCAGAACATTAAATTGTATGTGGATATTGGAGTTTAAAGGCCAGGGTTAAAGGATCTTAAGTATTCTTCTAACAACGGCAGCCGCTATTCTAATTGAATGATCAGTCGCCAGGAAAACAAAATGAGTCGAAATGAGGTAGTGTCACCGAGAAAGAAGATATCCAAGGATCACTACTATGAGGATGAGAAGATGTTTTTTCGTTTTTTTTTTTTTATTAGTGGAAGTAATAATTCTTGGGGCTGATAAAAGAAAAGAAAGAGATTTAGTCGGTGTTTGAAAAAAGTCTTCCAAATGGTCCATTGGGGTGTTGAGTGTTTCTCGGTGTTGTAGATTGTTGGTAACGCTTTGTGATGTGGTGTGAGTTTTGTGTAGTGCCCGTTTAATGTTTTGTTTTACGTCATCTGGAGATCTCACCATCTGTAACAGCAGAGACCACCCCGAAACTGAAGAAGAAGCAATAAATCTACGATGAGTTCAACATAACTTTTTAAACCACTTTATCTACTTGATTGGTAAATGTCATGAAGAATTTTGTTTCCTCTGGTAAGGATTAACTCCAGAAATTTCGAGAAAGTTTTGAAATAGCCTTTTTTTAAAGTAGGGAGGTGAGTGAGAGGGTTATACCAATCTAATGACGATAAAGAATACTTGAGATAAAAATATTTACCTCCTCAAGGTGAAAGTTCTCATTGATCATGATTAATATGCAAGTCGCAGCAATAGCAAGGCACAAATGTAATATCATTTTCACTCTCGGGCTCTTCAGATACTTCCAAAGGCATGCCATTAACATGAAGGTCAGCAGTAGAAACAGCAAAGAGCATGCGCAGCCTATGGTGGCGATAGACTTCAAGTACAGTTCGTGGTGAGGTTTGACCTAGAAAAGAGAATAAAAAAGTTTCAAGAGAAAAACGATTTCGTATTCCCAGTGCCATAGTGCGTCATGCAAGCTGCAAAAGGGATTTTGCTGTACACAAATGAACTTAATGTCTTTTAGTTAATTATTATTTATCAGCTACTTTATTTTCTTACCTACATACACTTGTGTAAATATCTTATATAGTGTGAAATAAAGAATTGAATTGAATTGAACAGTCCATCACTTCCTTGCTTATTTCGCGGTTCTCTACTGTAGCATGAAGAAATTAAAGCTTTTGGAATTCGGAAATATAGGGCTCGAATTATGGTTGCCAGTAACCATTTTGAATTAAGACAGGTGACTTCAACGCAGCTGCATGATCACGCTTGCCTTCACGGAAGACCCGTCTGGACTTCTTTGTGACACAAAATCGTCCCAAGGGTCCCGCCTCTTTCTCCACCCGAGAACGCTTGGTGACAGGGTACAGCATGTAATAATAATAGTAATAATAATAATAATAATAATAATAGTAATAATAATAATAATAATAATACTAACAATAATAATAATAGTGATAAATAAACTGCAATAGATATTTGTTCTAAACTTAAGCTCATATTCCAGGAGCTGCAGGGGAATAAAAGAATAATCTTTTTTACCCGTTTGTTGTTCATTAACACTGCGAAGATTGTCAGGTGATCACACTGGCATGTGGTAACTCGCGCACTTGATTCGTGTTCCACACGCACGCACCCACGCGTTAACCACGTTCTCTGTGGAAGTCCTATTTGCCAAAATACACAGCTCCCAATAACATCTTCACTCTGCAGTCAAAAAGACAATTTACTTTTTGATCAGTTATTTGATTCATTTATCTATCTTTATGCACACCGGATAAATGTTTAGAAAACTTGAAGCAAATGAAAGCAAGTGGGAATTTTGCTGGGGGGATACAAATGATAGAAAAAAGTGCTGAACGATAAATGAAACCAGCGATACAACTCAAAAACTTATGGACAAAGAACATAAAGAGGACACTTCTTTCCTCGCATTTCCTTCGCTTTCTGGCAACTGTTAACGTTAATCTTCCACTTGTTACGGCTTGAACACCCCCGGCAATATATTAGTACTCATGCCTGGAATACCATTTCACAAGTCTTCGATCACTTCCAACTGTCTTCTTTTATCATCTTTTCTGTCACTAGATCTTATATACTGAGCTGCATTGAATTTTTGTTGGTTCTAATTTAGATAACTACTTCTTTCTTTTTCATTATTTGGTATGGGGCATAATCTGAATAACCTGAAGACGAAGTGGTATATTGGCGTGAATCAGGAGTGCAAAATCTTTCTGTGCATGAATTGATTTTTGAACATACCAGCTTCGCTTCATATTTTACATGGATGTTATTTCACATTTTTTAAATTTTGATTGCATATTTACTTGAATGACTCGGCACGTTAATCTCGTAGGCAACTAAACTTCACAAAATATATCAGTTTCCCAGTGAGGAAAACCCGTCTTTACGAATCGATAAAATTGGTTCAAAGAAGCACAATAAAGCTTATCCATAAAATAATAATTTAGTTGCATACGGTGTATACGTAAGTTGTAATGTAGATGTTGTAGCAAGCGTTTCCGCGCAAGCTCACTGAGGGACGAACTCACGCGGAAACACTTGCTACGCTGGCTAGTTGAAATGTTTCTTGCCTTGTTCTTGTGATAAAAAACAAACTTGATTGGTTTTCTCATCGGGCTGACAGGACGCGGAAGAATTGTGGCAGAAACGATACTTGAGACACTCTTGAATTTTGTCTTCCTATTCTTTTCTTCGTTCTTTGCACCCTCCTTTTCAAGTGTTAAGAAATTGTTGAGAGTCTTGTAGACAATGGTGGTCGCTTGAGTTGCTGATTTTGAGGCGAACGCTTCACCAGGAACAAAGATCTCTGCGCCGTGCTGGGAGAAGTCCATGCTGAGCTGAAAAAAAGTTGAAATATCAATCTAGAATTGGTGTCTTCTTCTCAAGAGAAAAAACAACGAAAGAAACAAAAGTAATATGAACGAAACGATTAAAAAGCGATAACAATAAAGCTGGTTTGTTACAAGGGAGGAAGCATGAAAATGTGAGTTGTGTGGATGATTGTGATTCAAATTATTTTCAAAAGTTTTGACTAGTTAGGAGTCATTACGTCACCCGTAGAGCCATGGCTTACAGCCATATGAGTAGGGCGGTGTTCGGGAGGTTAAGAGAATAGAAATTCATTTATTATTTTGCACATAAATGCTTAATTGGTGTCTTCTTCTCAAGAGAAAAAACAACGAAAGAAACAAAAGTAATATGAACGAAATGATTAAAAAGCTGGTTTGTGATAAGGGAGGAAAAATGAAAATGGGAGCTGTGTGCATGCGATTGATATTCAAATTATTTTCAGGAGTTTTGATTGGTTAGGAGTCATTACGTCACCCGTAGAGTCAAGGTTTACAACCATATGAGTAGGGAGGTGTTAGGGAAGTTAAGACAACAGAAATTTGTTTATTAGAAATCCTTAAAAAAATAGTTGGTTCTTATGAACAAATTGGCGGCCATGACATCAGCCGCAAACCACTACCTATGTAAGAGGCTGCGCTATTAATGCGCAGTCAATGGAGGGAAAGGTTTTAATTAGTAATTAAACATTTTACTCCACGGACAGAGATTGAACCCTGATAAATATGACACATTCTACAAATAAAGGCCAAAGGTAATTCTAGGTCGTGAATTTATTCATTTTACCTTTTTCCTAGTTGTTAAGAGATCCACCCTAAAAACAATGTTCCGCTTGCGGATTACCACGTAAGTTGAGTTTTCCAAACCCGCGTCCAGTTGGCTACCAACTTGTGAACCAAAGTCGTCCATTGCCTTTAAAAGGTCGTCAGTTACATTACTACGGCTCTAAAAATTTGTAAACAAAAAGTAATGAGAGCATTTTTTTGCCATAGTAGCCATCGCCACAGATGAAACTGAACTCTGGTTAAGGCCGTCTGCGAAACAGCGACGAAATCCTTGTTTGGGTCCCCACCTGTGTACCGGGATCTGAGTACGACCCATGATTGGCCTGTCGAAATAGCCATTGTTTGATTGGCCAACCAAGATGTTCCTTTCATTCTTTGAGTCCGTTGGGGGCCCAGAAGAAGGATATCGGTGCTGAATCCCGGGGGCAGGGGGGAAGCGTTTAATATATACTGTAGAAGTCTACTAGTCGAAATTAAATTACGTCTGCGACGCAAGCTAGAAAATAGCTGCTGTTTTAAACAACTAAGGTTTAGGCCAAACTTCAAACTTTTCATGAGACAAGCCAAACCCTAATTTGGGTCGGTCTAACGGTAATTTAACATCGTCTGTTGGGTCTGACGTCGAACTTAGGACCGTACGTAGAACCAATAAATTGAATCAGGTAAGTAATAAATTTTCTTCCGAACGAGCTAAATATACATTATCATACAGGCAGATTTTTAATTTATTAGTTTAGTTCGTCGCATGTGAAGGTAGACGCTTGTCCCGGGGACGATCTTCAGTCGTTCTACCCGTCTGAAGCAGACAGATAGAACGTGTTGGACGATCCAAACTTATTCAGACCAACTTCTCCTGAAAAGTTGGACGTTTGGTCTAGGCCTAAATTAACTTCACATACCTCTTGCAGATATAACCAAGTGGGGGTATTTTCTTCCTCCAGAAGATTACTTGCTACTTGTACAATATTTTGCTGGTCTGTTGTCGTATTAACTGCACTGTTGTTCACCAGTGAATTATAGTTTACAAGTTGAACTAGCATCTTCACTGATGCTGACAATTCTTTTCCAGTGAGAGTGATTCTATTTCCTGGTTTTGTTGCGTTTGCGAGACTTTTTATAAAACTGCTTACATTTGCCGAGGAATTCCCTTTCAATAATTCGTCAATCTAGATCGAGAAAAAAAAAAACACAAAAAAGAAATTCACTTGATGTGAAGCGATTTCTCAATATCTTTGTTCTGACCACAATGACAGTGATGAGACACTGTCTAATTTATGAATTTGCGATTTCGTAGTTATAGATGTCATTTGGAAACTTGGGAGACGTTTGAAAAACAATGCCCCAACAAACGATAGTGCTTCATTACTGAACCTTATCTCCAGGTTGCGGAGATGGTCTACGCATGTGCGGCACGTATGTAGCCAGCATAGACTTAAAGCATAGACTTACAGCATATCCCCATTTGTTTGAACTTCCATTAAGAATGAATGGAATGCGTAGAGCGCAATCTGATCACGCCTGTTTGGATCGCTTGGGTTAGAGACGTTACAAGGGAAGAAGAGACAGGACACCGGGTGCGACAAGCTGGTTTCCTTTGGCTTGGATACAAACTTTCTTTGTAAAAGGATTGGACAATTGTCTTCTATTTCAAATCAGTCCTATCTTATGTACTCGCGGTCTTGAGGTTTGTGGCAAACGCACAAACGGTGTTATTATTGCTATCTCCGTTCCCATTCTTGTACATTGTTACTTTTGAAAAGGTATGTGCACTTGCATGCTCAAGTAGTTTAACGCCTGGGACTAAGATGTTTACTTGTGGAAAATGAATTACTGGCTATCAGTTTGGCATAGATGATGGCGCTGAATCAAAATTTGGCACACATAAAGAACTCATCGTTCTTACCATTTTAAAGTATAAACATTGTGTTAATAAGTCACGTGACCATTTTGCTAAAAATCGTAAATTATTGACGAATTGATGGCCGGTTTAAGAAAAGAAATCGGGAAAATACATTGTTCTAATTCAAATTAAATGTTTCTAACACTTCACGTTTGGAAAGACCGTCCATTGTACTTGAATAAAAAATTATGAGGGAAAATATCATTTTAAATGCCCAAATTAAAACTTGGATTATTTAAACTAATTTTAAACTTCGCGTAAATTCATTCCAAACGTAGAAAGTTAGGTATGTTTATCCTCTTTCAGAAATACCGAAATGTTTATCGAAACAAAGTAGATTCGCCACCAATTCGCCAATTTCCTTCATTTTTAATTTTTGGTCAGGTGACGTGTCACGTGACAATAATTAAACGTTAAGGCACAAGAAAACCTCAAGATTTACTTTTGGGGAAACGTTCATTTTGTTCCAGGTCTCCTAGCGAGAGCTATTTTCAATTATTCATATGCTCAGAACACATCTTTGACCCAGGCCTTAAACCCCTTGAGTGCGAAACGTCAACTTTATCATAAAGGTTATTAAATGTCTTTTGTTAGCATATGCGTATTACTGCTGCTACTGCTCCTGCTAAGAAGGCCACGAAACAAGGGTTAACGGCACCTTTTATCAATGTATTACCCCACATAATGTCTTACCACACCTTTCAAACTGGAATTTGCTTTATCGTTAGATGATCGACAAAATAAAATATATCGTGTCATGCAAACCTCTTTTTGTAACGATACAATCTTGTATGATCTTGTTGGTAATGGCGGGCTGCTACTGATGTTACTTAATGTAATGTCCTTTCCTGTAATTCCTGTGAAAGGCGTGCACAAAAAAGTCAGGTGTCTGCGACGCAGGCTATCTCCATAAAACTGTATCAAAAAATTTTAATTTCTGACTCCCATCTTACTTAGTCGTCAGAATCTACATGTTTTGCGATAGGTTTCATTCTGCTGGTTTGCTGGCAAGACTTCATTGTTACTGTTTGCACTAACTAGCAAATTAGGCAAATGCCGGGCTTCTGTTGGTCATAACAACTCCCTCTTCCCTTTTTTTATTTCGTTAGGTACAGCACTGCACCAGTAATAAAAAAGTTATGTAGGTATGCTTTAATAGCTCGTATTTTTGTGAATGCCAAAAATTGTGCTTGATTTATGGAAATATGCGGCACAATATAATGCTAGATCATTGTTTCTTTAAATATTATTCAAATGCCAAAATCCTGCTAAAACTGCCTTGGATCGTAACGTTTACAAACTTTTGGCTTGGGCGAGGACTGACCTCGTCATTGACCTACGCATTAGATTTTCGAGCTGTCTAACCAAAAGGGTCCCAATCGGGAGCAGGTAAATTTAAATGTTGTACCTAGTGTATAAAGGTATAAAAGGCATAACGTCACTCTCTGTTTTAAAAACGGTTGTTCCCATAAAAGAAGGTGGAATTTCTTCCTTCTCTTTTTTTTCTTATCTCACGTTTACGCACCTGGAAAAAGGCAAAACTGTTCTTCTAATACGTGACCCCGACAGGTTTGCCCCCCTCTCGCGGGAGGTGGTCTGTTACACAGTCGCGTTCTACTTGCAATACCGGGGGCTTTACACTGTGACCATTCACTCCACTGTCCAAATCTACCGTCAACAGGAGCGCCAGCTAATAACAGCGTAAAGGAAAATGCATGAGTGAGTGAGTCATTTGGCTCCTATGCAATAACTGGGTAATTTCTAGCCCTTTCTTTGGTCGAGAGCAAAGGTCTATAACAGTTTATACCGCAATAACTAAGTGATTGTGCGCCTGCTTATTGGTCAAGAGCTATGGTCTATGTAGGAGGGAACACAAACTGCACTGTTTTATAAAGGTTTAAAAATTGATTCGAGCGCGAAGTACGAATAAAAAAGGTGCTGTGATTAGTTCGATTAAAAAACGATGGAAAAGTGTTTGTCAGTGATAAAGAAGAAGAAAGTCGCTATCCCAGAAGAAAAAAAAACGTGAGATCGTTTACAAAATAAGGGATAAACATTATATGATTCAAAATGGTAAGAAGTACAAACTTAGTTGTTGTTTGTGACAAACAAACGACACTTTCGAGAATATTTAAGAGCGACGGTCAGGAAAACTCGAGCAAAATCCTGATTTCCCGGCAAGAGTTGAAAAATCGATTTCTTTCATTTTTGTCCATAGATAGCTTCTGGGTAGATAAGGAAGGTGATGTAAAAGAAAGTTGAAGACGCCACATGTAACACAGTTTTGTTGCTGAAGCGTTGTTTGTAAAATGCATTAGTTTGTACAAGTAGTTCCCTTTCAGTTTTCGAAGCTCCCGTCGCTCTTAAGTACGATAAGGTAAAAGGCATAACGGAGTGTTTGCTATAAAACTGATTTCATATTTGGCTCTTTGATCCTTGCCCAAGACCATTAAGACCGAACTGTAGTTGAATGAGTATACGAGGAGATAGTCTAGCGCTTTTGGCGATTAAGTGGAAACCTGCTTGTTTATTGACAAGTAAAGAAAATGAAAAAGAAAATGTTAGTAACCTGACGGACATCCTAAGAGTTCCATCCTCATAGAAATATGACCACTCCATGTCTTAGGATACACCCGAATGTAGCGTGCCTTTATGAAAGGGTGCAAGACGTTCAAAACCACGCTGTTGCGGTCCGTGTTCCCATTAAAGACCTGAAGGGAGAAAATAAAACGTAAATGTTAAACTAGTCGTTGACTTTTATAGCTAGCATAACAGTGTTGCTAAGTTTGTGACGTGGGTCTCAGGGTTTGAAAATTGTTCGTGTTAGTGAGTCGAGATTCAATTAGTTTAATTAATTCCTTGAGTTTGTCTTGCTACAACTTTTATTGGTTTCCATACCTTGCTGTTCTGATAAGGTGTATAGGCGGTTCCATTGCCGCTGTAGGAGATAGTAAAGCTCGTAACCCATTGATCCGCGTCTTGTCGTCCCTGGATCTGTATTCCTGTCACCTCGGTTTTAGCTCCAAGATCCACTTGTAGCCACTGATGAACGTCATTTCTGAGGGCGGACCATGCACCAGTCTTACTTCCGCCAGCCTTGAAATTGAGTCTGCCATTGGTGGCGCCGTGTGCAGCGTTCCATACGGTTGAAGCTGTGATCTGGCCATCGGTGATTTTTCTGCTCTCCATCCCGAGAGGGTCCAAACATGCTATACAAAGAAAATGCATTAGTTCAGAGAACTATAGTGCGCGTTGAAGTTGAATTGTTTTTGCACGATAAGTGCGTTAAGGTGTTTCAATACAGTTTTCAGAGGCCATATCGATATTTTCCAATCGCGTTAAAAGTGTTGTTTTCCTGTCCGATCACCATAAAAATTTCACCAGTAATTGGCTATGGATTGAAATTTGTGAAAATGTAGTTTTAAGTAAAATCAATATTACTATGACAACAACAAACCAAAAAAAATTTGAAATTGATAAAAGCTGAATTTTGTGTGATCTGGACCAGCCACTAGCCGGTGAGGAACTTTAAGTTTGGTGTTTAGCATACCTTAATAACTAGTACATTTTAGTTTGATTTTATCCCATCTTTTGAATATAAAACATTGACAATACTCACGCTGAAATGTGCTAGTCATGGATACATGTTTTGTCCGCATTAATTTTGAAAAATTAGCATAACATCAAAACAGTGAATGTTGTAGCGCAGATTTTTGACCGGTTATTAGGATAGGTTTGTCGTAAAATTTCAAGGTGTTGCAGTGAATCAATCTTAATCAAAGTTTCAGACATTACTATATACATTGTGAAGAACAGGTGAAGAGATTTTAAAAAAAATCGTTGGAGTCGTTTCAGAGATATACAAAAAAGCGCTAAAAGTCCAAATTTTAAATGAAGTTGCACTAAGACAGCTAGGTGGTGAGATAAAGGAGTTAATTTTTAAGATCGCAGGAACGAAAATACACCCAATTTCCTTGCATCGAAATATGATATAAAGCAGCATTCAGACGCTACTTGAGAATAATTTGAGTCATTTATAACGTTTTTATTAAATAATCTATCACGACTATTGAAAATTTAAGGTTTGAAATATATTTTTTTTAGTCGAATTCAAACATACAGAGTTTTTTTACTTCTTACGGTTGTTATTTGCTAAAAACAAAACTTTACGTTCCTTGTGTTAGATTTTAAGTAGCTGGTCTAGACCGCGCAAAGTTAGGCGTTTATAAATTTCAAAGTTATTGTTGTCATGGTATGATCGATTTT